TGGCTGGTGTCATACTTGACCGTACATTTCAGCAATGTCATTGCAGGGATTAATCACATGGCAGGCTATTGCAGGGATTAATCATATGGTAAATGGTTTTCACTGTTGTAGAACCTCTGGTTTTCACTGTTGTAGGGGAACACGAATGGGCCTTCGGCAGCTGTCAGCATGACAGTTTGCCTGAGTCTGGTACAAAATCATGGATGGAGAGAGCTTCAGCAGGCCACAAGACTCAGGCTCAAATTGTGCTCAACAAGAGGTAGCTTGAAGATATCCCCAAATACCTGGCTTTTAGGGACTGTAAATTGTGTGTGTCATATATATATATATATATATATATATATATATATATATATATATATATATATATATATATATATATATATATATATATATATATATATATATATATATACACACACACACAGTGAGGGGAAAAAAAGTATTTGATCCCCTGCTGATTTTGTACGTTTGCCCACTGACAAAGACAATCTATAATTTTAATGGTAGGTTTATTTACCCCTCTGCAAAACATGACTTAGTACTTGGTGGCAAAACCCTTGTTGGCAATCACAGAGGTCAGACGTTTCTTGTAGTTGGCCAACAGGTTTGCACACATCTCAGGAGGGATTTTGTCCCACTCCTCTTTGCAGATCTTCTCCAAGTCATTAAGGTTTTGAGGCTGACGTTTGGCAACTCGAACCCTCAGCTCCCTCCACAGATTTTCAATGGGATTAAGGTCTGGAGAATGGCTATGCCACTCCAGGACCTTAATGTGCTTCTTCTTGAGCCACTCCTTTGTTGCCTTGGCCATGTGTTTTGGGTCATTGTCATGCTGGAATAACCATCCACGACCCATTTTCAATGCCCTGGCTGAGGGAAGGAGGTTCTCACCCAAGATTTGACGGTACATTGTCCCGTCCATTGTCCCTTTGATGCGGTGAAGTTGTCCTGTCCCCTTAGCAGAAAAACACCCCCAAAGCATAATGTTTCCACCTCCATGTTTGACGCTGGGGATGGTGTTCTTGGGGGCATAGGCAGCATTCCTCCTCCTCCAAACACGGCGAGTTGAGTTGATGCCAAAGAGCTCCATTTTGGTCTCATCTGACCACAACACTTTCACCCAGTTCTCCTCTGAATCATCCAGATGTTCATTGGGAAACTTCAGACGGGCCTGTATATGTGCTTTCTTGAGCAGGGAGACCTTGCGGCCGCTGCAGGATTTCAGTCCTTCACGGCGTAGTGTGTTACCAATTGTTTTCTTGGTGACTATGGTCCCAGCTGCCTTGAGATCATTGACAAGATCCTCCCGTGTAGTTCTGGGCTGATTCCTGACCGTTCTCATGGTCATTGCAACTCCACGAGGTGAGATCTTGCATGGAGCCCCAGGCCGAGGGAGATTGACAGTTATTTTGTGTTTCTTCCATTTGTGAATAATCGCACCAACTGTTGTCACCTTCTCACCAAGCTGCTTGGCGATGGTCTTGTAGTCCATTTCAGCCTTGTGTAGGTCTACAATCTTGTCCCTGACATCCTTGGAGAGCTCTTTGGTCTTGGCCATGGTGGAGAGTTTGGAATCTGATTGATTGATTGCTTCTGTGGACAGGTGTCTTTTTATACAGGTAACAAACTGAGATTAGGAGCACTCCCTTTAAGAGTGTGCTCCTAATCTCAGCTCGTTACCTGTACAAAAGAGACCTGGGAGCCAGAAATCTTTCTGATTGAGAGGGGGTCAAATACTTATTTCCCTAATTTAAAATGCAATCAATGTATTACATTTTTGACATGTGTTCTGGATTTTTTTGTTGTTATTCTCTGTCTCACTGTTCAAATAAGCCTACCATTAAAATTATAGACTGATCATTCCTTTGTCAGTGGGCAAACGTACCAAATCAGCAGGGGGTCAAATACTTTTTTCCCTCACTGTATATATACAGTGGGGAGAACAAGTATTTGATACACTGCCGATTTTGCAGGTTTTCCTACTTACAAAGCATGTAGAGGTCTGTAATTTTTATCATAGTTACACTTCAACTGTGAGAGAAAAAACAAAAAACAAAAATCCAGAAAATCACATTGTATGATTTTTAAGTAATTAATGTGCATTTTATTGCATGACATAAGTATTTGATACATCAGAAAAGCAGAACTTTGATATTTGGTACAGAAACCTTTGTTTGCAATTACAGAGATCATACGTTTCCTGTAGGTCTTGACCAGGTTTGCACACACTGCAGCAGGGATTTTGGCCCACTCCTCCATACAGACCTTCTCCAGATCCTTCAGGTTTCGGGGCTGTCGCTGGGCAATAGACTTTCAGCTCCCTCCAAAGATGTTCTATTGGGTTCAGGTCTGGAGACTGGCTAGGCCACTCCAGGACCTTGAGATGCTTCTTACAGAGCCACTCCTTAGTTGCCCTGGCTGTGTGTTTCGGGTCGTTGTCATGCTGGAAGACCCAGCCACGACCCATCTTCAATGCTCTTACTGAGGGAAGGAGGTTGTTGGCCAAGACCTCGTGATACATGGCCCCATCCATCCTCCCCTCAATACGGTGCAGTCGTCCTGTCCCCTTTGCAGAAAAGCATCCCCAAAGAATGATGTTTCCACCTCCATGCTTCACGGTTGGGATGGTGTTCTTGGGGTTGTACCCATCCTTCTTCTTCCTCCAAACACGGCGAGTGGAGTTTAGACCAAAAAGCTCTATTTTTGTCTCATCAGACCACATTACTTTCTCCCATTCCTCCTCTGGATCATCAGATGGTCATTGGCAAACATCAGATAGGCCTGGATATGCGCTGGCTTGAGCAGGGGGATCTTGCGTGCGCTGCAGGATTTTAATCCATGACGGCGTAGTGTGTTACTAATGGTTTTCTTTGAGACTGTGGTCCCAGCTCTCTTCAGATCATTGACCAGGTCCTGCCGTGTAGTTCTGGGCTGATCTCTCACCTTCCTCATGATCATTGATGCCCCACGAGGTGAGATCTTGCATGGAGCCCCAGACCGAGGGTGATTGACCGTCATCTTGAACTTCTTCCATTTTCTAATAATTGCGCCAACAGTTGTTGCCTTCTCACCAAGCTGCTTGCCTATTGTCCTGTAGCCCATCCCAGCCTTGTGCAGGTCTACAATTGTATCCCTGATGTCCTTACACAGCTCTCTGGTCTTGGCCATTGTGGAGAGGTTGGAGTCTGTTTGAGTGTGTGGACAGGTGTCTTTTTATACAGGTAACGAGTTCAAACAGGTGCAGTTAATACAGGTAATGAGTGGAGAACAGGAGTGCTTCTTAAAGAAAAACGAACAGGTCTGTGAGAGCCGGAATTCTTACTGGTTGGTAGGTGATCAAATACTTATGTCATGCAATAAAATGCAAAATAATTACATAAAAATCATACAATGTGATTTTCTGGATTTTTGTTTTAGATTCCGTCTCTCACAGTTTAAGTGTACCTATGATAAAAATCTACATGCTTTGTAAGTAGGAAAACCTGCAAAAAAAGGTAGGGGCATGGATCAGAAAACCAGTCAGTATCTGGTGTGACCACCATGTGCCTTATGCTGCGCAACACATCTCCTTCGCATAGAGTTGATCATGCTTTTGATTGTGGCCTGTGGAATGTTGTCCCACTCCTGCTGAAACATGAGGTGATGGCAGCGGCTCAATGGCACAACAATGGGCCTCAGGATCTTGTCACGGTATATCTGTGCATTCAAATAGCCATCGGTAAAATGCAATTGTGTTCGTTGTCTGTCGCTTATGCCTGCCCATACCATAACCCCACTGCGGGGTACTCTGTTCACAACGTTGATATCAGCAAACCGCTCGCCCACACAACGCCATACACGCCTTCTGACAGTTGAAACCGGGATTAATCTGTGAAGAGCACACTTCTCCAGTGTGCCAGTGGCCATCGAAGTTGAGCATTTGCCCACTGAAGTCAGTTACGACGCCGAACTGCAGTCAGGTCAAGACATTTGCGTGGGTGACGAACACGCAGATGAGCTTCCCTGAGACGGTTTCTGACTGTGCAGAAATTATTCTGTTGTGCAAACCCAGAGTTTCATCAGCTGTCCAGGTGGCTGGTCTCTGACGATCCCGCAGGTGAAGAAGCCGGATGTGGAGGTCCTGAGCTGGCGTGGTTACATGTGTTCTGCTGTTGTGAGGCCGGCTGGGCGTTCAGACAAATTCTCTAAAACGACTGAGGTGGCTTATGGTAGAGAAATGAATATTCAATTCACTGGCAACATCTCTTGTGGACATTCATGCAGTCAGCATGCCAATTGCAGGCTCCCTCAACTTGAAATCTGTGGCATTGTGTTGTGTGACACAACTGCACATTTTAGTGGCCTTTTATTGTCCCCAGCACAAGGTATCATGCTGAAATGCTTACTAACAGGGATGTAAACAAGTTTGTGCACAACATTTGCATGTGGAACATTTCTGGGATCTTTTATTTCAGCTCGTGAAACATGGGACTAACACTTTACATGTTGTGTTTTATATTTTTGTTCAGTGTATGTTTGATGAGATGACACACACAAGGCTAATTGTGACGCTTTTCACAGGACAACTGCAGAGCTGTCCAGAATCATATTCTGATATATACCAGTAAGAGGATCACCTTCACACCACCCATATATGAGGCCAGGACACTCCTGGCAGTGTTGGACTACAATAAACATCGAGAGAGGCCTTCTCTGAGGAACAAAGCTGGCAACAAGATGTGAGTGTTTCCTGTTTCACTGCCTTTTCTGGGCATGCAGACTATTCTATACATCTATGTTCAGAACCTGCCCGAACTTGTTCAGTGCAGCATCACATTTTATTGCTTGTATCTTGATATTGTAATACTAATTACTCTTTCTTTGCCATTCTCTGTTCTATATCCTCAACTACTACAGAAACGTAATAAATAAATAAAAAGAGCGAAGATGGACAGTGCTTGCGAAGAAGACCCCAAAACCCTACAGTTACACCCCTGATGTTGGCATCCAACGTAGGAATGCCAACGATGATCCCTCGTGTAGCCAGTAACCCAAGGAATCTTGACCTTCTCCCTGACATACCACCACCCATCCTGGAGATGGGTCAGCCGAGGGCTTGGTATGAGAGAAAAAATACAACTGTCTTTTTAAAAAGTGAGGTAGGGTCGTACAGGTTGTTTCTAGACGTATATTTTCCTCCCTCTCCCCAGGATCTGGACAGCTATTCTACAGACTGGAATCCCAATGTCTGCATGCACACACGCATAAGCAGACATACACACTGAATAGCAATAGCTAACAATTAGTTCCTATAGTTTCTTGTAAATAACAATTACAAATAACCACCATTATACAGTATAGTATTGTACATTGTTATTGTACAATCTCCTCTACGCAATTAAATAAACCTAATTTGCTTATGAATAGCAATTGTAAATAACCTCATGTTATTGATAATGTATTGTACAGTCATCTACTCAATCCACCTGTAAATAGACCTGATGAATACTTTGTCACTCAAGAATGTTGTCTTCTGTCTATAGTTACACACTGTCAAATTATTTGTTCTATGATTGTTTCATAATAATTTTGCACTTACAGTATTTCAACCTTTTTCTGTAACATTTGTTTTTATTAAACAGTGGGTTAGGGTTAGCGAACACATACACAAAAACAAACAAAACAATTAAAAATACATGGACAGAATTCTCTAGATCAGTCAGCCAAGATCGAATCCTTTATACTGGCAATTAGGGTCAGGGAAAGCATCTCCGATGCGCCACATGCAGGAGCTTGGAATAACAATTCTGTGACCGTGCCGAAAAGTGCCATGCTGTCAACAGATTAACTGCCGGGAGCCAGCATGCCTGTTCTCCGAATGGTCTTCTCCCTGTTCCTCGCTCTCATCCAGGGCTAACAGATCATTCCTGCAAACCCTGATGTTCCTCAGGTTTCCAGGCTCCAGGCAGTAAGTGTATATGTGCGATGTTATACTGATGCAGGTGTTTGGCCCTCCACCACAGCACTTCTTCTCAATGTCAGTTGGCATTTCACAGCACCTGCCACAGGTGCACCAAAAGGCACCTCCACCTCCCTTGTTGGCCTGGATTAGATATTTTATTTTTTATTTCACCTTTTATTTAACCAGTTAAGTTCTCATTTACAACTGCGACCTGGCCAAAATAAAGCAAAGCAGTGCGATTTAAAAACAACAACACAGAGTTGCATATGAGGTAAACAAAACATAAAGTCAAAAATACAACAGAAAATATATATACAGTGTGTGCGAATGTAGTATATTATGGAGGTAAGGCAATAAATAGCCCATAGTGCAAAATAGTTAATTTCGTATTAACACTGGAATGATAGATTTGCAAAAGATGATGTGCAAATAGATACTGGGGTGCAAATGAGCAAAATAAATAACAATATGGAGATGAGGTAGTTGGATGGGCTGTGTACAGGTGCAGTGATCGGTAAGCTGCTCTGACAACTGACGCCTAAAGTTAGTGAGGGAAATAAGAGTCTCCAGCTTCAGAGATTTTTGCAGTTCGTTCCAGTCATTGGCAGCAGAGAGCTGGAAGGAATGGCAGCCAAAGGAGGTGTTGGCTTTGGGGATGACCAGTGAGATATACCTGCTGGAGCGCATACTACGGGTGGGTGTTGCTATGGTGACCAGTGAGCTAAGATAAGACAGGGATTTGCCTAGAAGTGATTTATAGATGACCTGGAGCCAGTGGGTTTGGCGACGAATATGTAGTGAGGGCCAGCCAACAAGAGCGTACAGGTCACAATGGTGGGTAGTATATGGTGCTTTGGTGACAAAATGGATGGCACTGTGATAGACTACATCCAATTTGCTGAGTAGAGTGTTGGAGGCTATTTTGTAAATGACATTGCCGAAGTCAAGGATCGGTAGGATAGTCAGTTTTACGAGGGCATGTTTAGCAGCATGAGTGAAGGAGGCTTTGTTGCGAAATAGGAAACCGATTCTAGATCTAACTTTTGATTAAGATGCTTAATGTGAGTCTGGAAGGAGAGTTTACAGTTTAACCAGACACCTAGGTATTTGTAGTTGGCCACATACTCTAGGTCAGACCCGCCGAGAGTAGTGATTCTAGTCGGGTGGGCGGGTGCAAGCAGCGTTCGGTTGAAGAGCATGCATTTCGTTTTACTAGTGTTTAAGAGCAGTAGGAGGCTACAGAAGGAGTGTTGTATGGCGTTGAAGCTCGTTTGGAGGTTTGTTAACACAGTGTCCAATGAAGGGCCAGATGTATACAAAATGGTGTCGTCCGCATAGAGGTGGATCCGAGCGTCACCAGCAGCAAGAGCAACGTCATTGATATACACAGAATAGTCGGACCACATCAAAAATGTTCTCTCCAGCATCATCATCAAGACACCATGCCTCTTTCTCTCCAACAGCTGTTCAAGATGCACCTAAAGTTAATGAGTACCAGAGGTGACAATCTGGTCTAGATTTGGTTTAGTCTAATCAGACATGGTGTAATGTGGCTTACAAACCTCCACCTGTGCACGTCTATCTTGACGACGATGATCAATCCTCTCCCTGTCAGCCAGGGATATTTCCCCAATTCTGCCCCTTCTATCTCTCCTCCTGTTCGCTCCCCTGGCCCTGTTTGATCCTCTTGCCCTGCTCGCTACATGGGCCCCTGTCTCTTCACTGGCCCTCAGCAATTCTCCATGGACCCTTGGACCTCTGTCCCTGGCTCTCCTTCTCTGTGTAGACCTATGTGTGCCATGTTCAGGCAGCAGATTCACCTAAAAGCAATCATTCAAGAATCAGGATCACCTTACCCGCCAAGTACATTTACATGTACATTTACCATGTTCACGGTAGGGGTGGTGCCAGGTTTCCTCCAGACGTGAAGCTTTGCATTCAGGCCAAAGAGTTCAATCTTGGTTTCATCAGACCAGAGAATCTTGTTTCTCATGGTCTGAGAGTCCTTTATGTTCCTTTTGGCAAACTTCAAGCGGGCTGTCATGTGCCTTTTACTGAAGAGTGGCTTCCATGGAGTGCTGCAGAGATGGTTGTCCTTCTGGAAGGTACTCCCATCTCCACAGAGGAACTCTGGAGTTCTGTCAAGGCCCTTCTCCCCCGAATGCTCAGTTTGGCCGGGCGGACAGCTCTAGGAAGAGTCTTGGTGGTTCCAAACTTCTTCCATTTAAGAATGATGGAGGCCACTGTGTTCTTGGGGACCTTCAATACTGCAGAAATGTTTTTGTACCCTTCCCCATATCTGTGCCTCGACATAATCCTGTCTCGGAGCTTTACGGACAATTCCTTCGACCTCATGGCTTGGTTTTTGCTCTGACATGCGCTGTCAACTGTGGGACCTTTATATAGACAGGTGTGTGCCATCCAAATCATGTCCAGTCAATTTAAGGTGGATTCCAATCAAGTTGTAGAAACTTCTCAAGGATGATCAATGGAAACAGGATGCACCTGAGCTCAATTTCGAGTCTCATAGCAAAGGGTCTGAATACTTATGTAAATAAGGTATTTGTTTTTTATTTTGAATACGTTTGCAAAAATTAAAAAATATCCTGTTTTAGCTGTGTCATTATGGGGTGTTGTGTGTAGGTTGATGAGGATATATATTTTTTTTAATAAGGCCCTAACGAAACAAAATGTGGAAAAAGTCAAGGGGTCTGAATACTTGTCGAATGCACTGTGTGTATATACAGTGGGGAAAAAAAGTATTTAGTCAGCCACCAATTGTGCAAGTTCTCCCACTTAAAAAGATGAGAGAGGCCTGTAATTTTCATCATAGGTACACGTCAACTATGACAGACAAAATGAGGGAAAAAAATCCAGAAAATCACATTGTAGGATTTTTAATGAATTGATTTGCAAATTATGGTGGAAAATAAGTATTTGGTCAATAACAAAAGTTTCTCAATACTTTGTTATATACCCTTTGTTGGCAATGACACAGGTAAAACGTTTTCTGTAAGTCTTCACAAGGTTTTCACACACTGTTGCTGGTATTTTGGCCCATTCCTCCATGCAGATCTCCTCTAGAGCAGTGATGTTGTGGGGCTGTCGCTGGGCAACACGGACTTTCAACTCCCTCCAAAGATTTTCTATGGGGTTGATATCTGGAGACTGGCTAGGCCACTCCAGGACCTTAAAATGCTTCTTACGAAGCCACTCCTTCGTTGCCCGGGCGGTGTGTTTGGGATCATTGTCATGCTGAAAGACCCAGCCACGTTTCATCTTCAATGCCCTTGCTGATGGAAGGAGGTTTTCACTCAAAATCTCACGATACATGGCCCCATTCATTCTTTCCTTTACATGGATCAGTCGTCCTGGTCCCTTTGCAGAAAAACAGCCCCAAAGCATGATGTTTCCACCCCCATGCTTCACAGTAGATATGGTGTTCTTTGGATGCAACTCAACATTCTTTGTCCTCCAAACACGACGAGTTGAGTTTTTTCCAAAAAATTCTATTTTGCTTTCATCTGACCATATGACATTCTCCCAATCCTCTTCTGGATCATCCAAATGCACTCTAGCAAACTTCAGACGGGCCTGGACATGTACTGGCTTAAGCAGGGGGACACGTCTGGCACTGCAGGATTTGAGTCCCTGGCGGCGTAGTATGTTACTGATGGTAGGCTTTGTTACTTTGGTCCCAGCTCTCTGCAGGTCATTGACTAGGTCCCCCCGTGTGGTTCTGGGATTTTTGCTCACCGTTCTTGTGATCATTTTGACCCCACGGGGTGAGATCTTGCGTGGAGCCCCAGATCGAGGGAGATTATCAGTGGTCTTGTACGTCTTCCATGTCCTAATAATTGCTCCCACAGTTGATTTCTTCAAACCAAGCTGCTTACCTATTGCAGATTCAGTCTTCCCAGCCTGGTGCAGGTCTACAATTTTGTTTCTGGTGTCCTTTGACAGCTCTTTGGTCTTGGCCATAGTGGAGTTTGGAGTGTGACTGTTTGAGGTTGTGGACAGGTGTCTTTTATACTGATAACAAGTTCAAACAGGTGCCATTAATAGAGGTAACGAGTGGAGGACAGAGGAGCCTCTTAAAGAAGAAGGTACAGGTCTGTGAGAGCCAGAAATCTTGCTTGTTTGTAGGTGACCAAATACTTATTTTCCACCATAATTTGCAAATAAATTCATTAAAAATCCTACAATGTGATTTTCTGGATATTTTTTTCTCAATTTGTCTGTCATAGGTGACGTGTACCTATGATGAAAATTACAGGACTCTCTCGTCTTTTTAAATGGGAGAACTTGCACAATTGGTGGCTGACTAAATACTTTTTTCCCCCACTGTATACACCACACACACACTGAGTATACCAAACGTTAGGAACACCTTCCTAATATTGAGTTGCACTTTTGCTTTCAGAACAGCCTCAAATCATTGGGGCATGCAAGGTGTCGAAAGCGTTCCACAGGGATGCTGGCCCTATGCATCCCACGGTTGTGTCAAGTTGGCTGGATGTCCTTTGGGTGGTGGACCATTCTTGATACACAGGGGAAACTGCTGAGCATTAAAAACCCAGCAGCATTGCAGTTCTTGACACAAACCTGTATGCCTGGCACCTTCTACCATGCCCCGTTCAAAGGCACTTAAATATTTTGTCTTGCCCATTCACCCTCTGAATGGCACACACACAATCCATGTCTCAATTGTCTCAAGGCTTGAAAATCCTTCTTTAGCCTGTCTCCTCCCCTTCAGCTACACTGATTTGAAGTGTACTTAACACGTGACATCAATAAGGGATCATAGCTTTCACCTGGATTTACCTGGTCAGTCTGTCATGGAAAGAGCAGGTTGTTGATGTTTATTTTACTCAGTGTGTATATATATATATTTTAATGTATCCAGGTTCACAGTGCAGACTGAACAGAGGTCCCCGTACCGAATGGTTCGGTACATATACAGTACATATACAGTACATGTACAGTGTGGGAAAAAAGTATTTGATCCCCTGCTGATTTTGTACGTTTGCCCACTGACAAAGAAATTATCAGTCATAATTTTAATGGTGGGTTTATTTGAACAGTGAGAGACAGAATAACAACAAACAAATCCAGAAAAACGCATGTCAAAAATGTTATAAATTGATTTGCATTTTAATGAGGGAAATAAGTGTTTTACCCCTCTGCAAAACATGACTTAGTACTTGGTGGCAAAACCCTTGTTGGCAATCATAGAGGTCAGACGTTTCTTGTAGTTGGCCACCAGGTTTGCACACATCTCAGGAGGGATTTTGTCCCACTCCTCTTTGCAGATCTTCTCCAAGTCATTAAGGTTTCAAGGCTGACGTTTGGCAACTCAAACCTTCAGCTCCCTCCACAGATTTTCAATGGGATTAAGGTCTGGAGAATGGCTAGGCCACTCCAGGACCTTAATGTGCTTCTTCTTGAGCTACTCCTTTGTTGCCTTGGCCATGTGTTTTGGGTCATTGTCATGCTGGAATACCCATCCACAACCCATTTTCAATGCCCTGGCTGAGGGAAGGAGGTTCTCACCCAAGATTTGATGCTACATGGCCCTGTCCATCGTCCCTTTGATGCGGTGAAGTTGTCCTGTCCCCTTAGCAGAAAACCCCCCCCCAAAGCATAATGGTTCCACCTCCATGTTTGACGGTGGGGATGGTGTTCTTTTGTGTCATAGGTAGCATTCCTCCTCCTCCAAACACGGCGAGTTGAGTTGATGCCAAAGAGCTCCATTTTGGTCTCATCTGACCACAACACTTTCACCCAGTTCTTTTCTGAATCATTCAGATGTTCATTGGCAAACTTCAGAAGGGCATGTATATGTGCATTCTTGAGCAGGGGGACCTTGCGGGCGCTGCAAGATTTCAGTCCTTCACGGCGTAGTGTATTACCAATTGTTTTCTTGGTGACTATGGTCCCAGCTGCCTTGAGATCATTGACAAGATCCTCCCGTGTAGTTCTGGGCTGATTCCTCACCGTTCTCATGATCATTGCAACTCCACGAGGTGAGATCTTGCATGGAGCCCCAGGCCGAGGGAGATTGACAGTTATTTTGTGTTTCTTCCATTTGCGAATAATCGCACCAACTGTTGTCACCTTCTCACCAAGCTGCTTGGCGACTGTCATGTAGCCCATTCCAGCCTTGCGTAGGTCTACAATCTTGTCTCTCACATCCTTGGAGAGCTCTTTGGTCTTGGCCATGGTGGAGAGTTTGGAATCTGATTGATTGCTTCTGTGGACAGGTGTCTTTTATACAGGTAAAAAGCTGAGATTAGGAGCACTTCCTTTAAGAGAGTGCTCCTAATCCCAGCTCGTTACCTGTATAAAAGACACCTGGGAGCCAGACATCTCTCTGATTGAGAGGGGGTCAAATACTTATTTCCCTCATTAAAATGCAAATCAATTTATAACATTTTTGACATGCGTTTTTCTGGATTTTGTTGTTGTTATTCTGTCTCTAACTGTTCAAATAAACCTACCATTAAAATTATAGACTGATCATGTCTTGGTCAGTGGGCAAAATTACAAAATCAGCAGGGGATCAAATACTTTTTTCCCTCACTGTACCGTCACACCCCTAGTCAGGGAGTATAGAAAATTCCAAAACCAATTTACTTTTGTAAATATTTACGGTGAGGAAATATAACACATTTTCAGTGCGGCCCCACGGACCTCGTTGAAGAATGTATGCGGCCCTCGGGCAAAATGAGTTTGACATCGATCTGAACATTCTGTACATTTCCATTCTCCTTAACAGGCCCCAGGTGTAGATAATCAAGTCAAACCAATCAACCAATAATTATTTTTGCAGATGAGTATAAATAACTGACACTCAACTTCTGTATCACTCTTTCAACATGCAAATGAAAAGGCCGAAAGCTGCAATTAATTTATGATGCCTGAAAATACTGCGGAGACATTCAAAGCCATTTGCAAACAGGAGGTTGGATGCTCAGAAAACCAACTTCAAACCTCTTTGTCCATCTGATTGTTCTTGTTTCAAACACACTATACCACCTCTAAAGGGATAGTTTACTCAGAATACAAATTTACATCACCTTGGCTGTAGTTGATTCAAGAAGGCAGTTTTGGGATATTTAGTTAGCTTAGACGAGTGGTCCCAACCTTTTCTGAGTCAAGATCACTTTCATTTTTTTTTTTAAACACTACTTCTGTAGCAATGAGGTTTGTGCAGTAGGCTGTAGGCCCAATACATTATCACTGCATATTGGCTATGCTTGAACTGCCCTGCCAATGTTCTTCTCAGACCATTTTGAAATTATATTTAAAAATGTATGGTATATGATCACACTGGTAGTAGATTATTTCTTGTGAGGCACAGCTGTGCGAGCATAATCATTTGCTTATTTTTTTTACCAGACTGATGGCCTGCAACTGATGGTCAGTCTGAGGGGAGGGAGCAGCTGTGAGGCTGCCTCACACTACTCACCGTCCCTCCTCTCTCCCTCCCGCTGCTGAGAAAAGGGGACACAGTCTTCCAGCTGGTGGCGAAACTTAAGGCATTACTTCTGCCGGGCACCAATTCATGTTACTCCTATGACCAGAGAAAGTGAAATATTCCTCTATTAAAGACTCAAGCTGCAAATGATAACACAAGCTTATCGAAACGTGAATTTTTTTGGCTTATTAAACTGTTGAACAAAGTGTTGACAGTGCTGAGTAACTTAAACATGAACATGAACTTACTCATAAAAGTCTTGGATTTAAAAGTTATGAAATCTACATTATCAACTTTGCTGTGCGTAGGCCTATAGGTGCACTTGATTTGATCTCTGGGTCTGCTGGGTAGGCAGAGTTCTACCTTCAGACACATGTAATGGTTCAAAATGGGAACACTTTGCCTTCCCGGCGCTAGGGCTGCTGAATCAAGTGCACCTGCCATCAACAGCGCTAAATGAATACAAAAAAATGGAACGCAAAGCTTTATCATTGGGGTTTTCACAGAAATGTTTGGTGATCGACTAGGAATGGCTTGGAGATCAACCAGTCGATCGCGGTCGACTGGTTGGTGACCACTGCCTTAGACCCTTAACAGCCATATTTTAACAGTTAGCATTCTGTGACATAAAAATTAGTTCCTGTGTAATAACACTGTAATTACTTTTAGAGCATATTTTATTAGCATGTTATGTAATACTTGGGCAATTGCATTTTAATTGCATAGCAATGAGTTGGGAGTTTTTAACTATTGTACATGAGGAATAGTGACTTTTCCTTATTCTACTTGTGTAATAACTCCATAATTAAAGCAATTATGAAGCAATTTCTAAGGTCCTATGTAACAATGTTGCTGTTGTAGAAAACAAAGTTACTGTATTACCTTATGTCTCACTCATTATGGTGTATATCTTAGTCATTTAGAAAATGCACAAGTGTTCTACTCTAATCTTGAGATGAGTCCATTTCCCTCACAAACTGATTGCCTAGATCTAGCTTAAAGAAACAATAAACGTTCTCCCCTCCCCTGTTTTGGTAAAAAGCTGAGGGATGGGGCTGGAGAAATGTAATCACTCAAATGCAAGGACTGACCATCCATGATATCAACATTATAGTTTTAATCATGTTTTGAGGCTACATAGTGTTACATTTACTAAATGTTTTTTACAAACAGAGTAAAACAAGCTTATATTTTGGTTTCTGATGTTGTACGGCAGTTGAACTAAGCTCATGAGGCATTTATATGTTTCATTCTTCAAGAATCAAGTGGTACATGTCATTCATTTATAAGTCAAAAAATGTATGTAGCAACTGCAGATTGCCTCTTTAATGCCTGAAAGTGACCTGTATCTGATTTTTGTTTTGGCCAACAACAACAATCCTATTGGGTTTTACAGTCATTGTTTTCCATTATTTTGATCGGTAAGCATGTTTGAATTAGCATTAGCATGATGTTTTTTGATTAGCATGTTTACATTTTTTTCTTTATTAAGTATTTAATTGTAGGCTATATATTAAGATTTATATCTGAAAGCGCTCCAAACAATGTGCTAAGGATCATACAGTGCATTAGGAAAGTATTACGTTACAGCCTTATTCTAAAATTGATTAAATAAAAACATGTCCTCATCAATCTACACACAATACCCCATAATGACAAAGCGAAAACAGGATTGTAGAAAAACAGAAATACCTTATTTATATAAGTATTCAGACCCTTTGCTATGAGACTCGAAATTGAGCTCAGGTGCATCCTCTTTCCAATGATCATCCTACAGATGTTTCTACAACCTGATTGGAGTCCACCTGTGGTAAATTCAATTGATTGGACATGATTTGGAAAGGCACACACCTCTCTACAGTGAGGGAAAGTGGCCTAGCCAGTCTCCAAACCTTAATCCCATAGAAAATCTGTGGAGGGAGCTGAGGGTTCGAGTTGCCAAACGTCAGCCTCGAAACCTTAATTACTTGGAGAAGATCTGCAAAGAGGAGTGGGACAAAATCCCTCCTGAGAATGTATGACCTCTGTGATTGCCAACAAGTGTTTTGCCACCAAGTACTAAGTCATGTTTTGCAGAGGGGTCAAATACTTATTTCCGTCATTAAAATGCAAATCAATTTATAACATTTTTGACATGCGTTTTTCTGGATTTTTTTGTTGTTATTTTGTCTCTCACTGTTCAAATAAACCTACCATTAAAATTATAGACTGATTATGTCTTTGTCAGTGGGCAAACGTACAAAATCAGCAGGGGATCAACTACTTTTTTCCCTCACTGTATATAAGGTCCCACAGTTGACAGTGCATGTCAGAGCAAAACCAAGCCTTGAGGCGAAGGAATTGTCCGTAGAGCTCCGAGACAGGATTATGTCGAGGCACAGATCTGGGGAAGGGTACCAAAAAATGTCTGCGGCATTGAATGTCCCCAAGAACACAGTGGCCTCCATCATTCTTAAATGGAAGAAGTTTGGAACCACCAAGAGTCTTCCTAGAGCTGGCCAAACTGAGCAATCGGGGAGAAGGGCCTTGGTCAGGGAGGTGACCAAGAACCCGATGGTCACTCTGACGGAGCTCCAGAGTTCCTCTGTGGAGGAGATGGGAGAATCTTCCAGAAGGACAACCATCTCTGCAGCACTCCACCAATCAGGCCGTTATGGTAGAGGGGCCAGACGCAAGTCACTCCTCAGTAAAAGGCACATGTCAGCCTGATGAAACCAAGATTGAACTCTTTGGACTGAATGCCAAGCGTCACGTCTGGAGGAAACCTGGCACCATCCCTACAGTGAAGCATGATGGTGGCAGCATCATGCTGTGGGGATGTTTTTCAGCGGCAGGGACTGGGAGAGTAGTCAGGATCGTGGGAAAGATGAACGGAGCAAAGTACAGAGATCCTTGATGAAAACCTGCTCCAGAGCTCTCAGGACCTCAGACTGGGGCGAAGTTTCACCTTCCAACAGGACAATGACCCTAAGCACACAGCCAAGACAACGGTCCCCATCCAACCCGACAGAACTTGAGAGGATCTGCAGAGAAGAATGGGAGAAACTCCCCAAATACAAGTGTGCCAAGCTTGAACATTTTTTATTTAATCAATTTTAGAATAAGGCTGTAACGTAACAAAATGTGAAGGGGTCTGAATACTTTCCGAATGCACTGTATATTTAGACTAATTAAACTAACTTCAAGTATTTGACCTGCCATCAAATAAATATTTGTTTTTGTTTTCAAATAACTTGCATATATTGAAATACCTTCAAATATGATTAGTATTTCTGAGACCTGTATTTGAATATCAAAGTAAATAATTGCCTTTAGTTAATTCTCCATATTCGACTACCATTTGACAAATAAGTTATTTTTTACAAATAAACTACAAAATACAACTAATTTTCTTCCCAGGTCTGTTATGCTCACATCTGAGTAATCTAAAATGAAACTTCTTTAGACATGGCACTAGGATTCACTCAGAGTTCTGTGCATTTAGTTTTGTGTTATCATCGGTGCTAGACTTGGGCCAGAACACACCAGTATGGAGTATCAGTACCTCAAATTTCTTACTGCATAAGTACTGGCTTAAAAACGTTGCCTAAATGGTATCGGCACCCAAAATTGGTATGACACCTATTTCAGTCAACTTCAAGCATAGGTTATCGTGTTGATGTAAGTCTGAGAAATTGTGTGTTTGCTTGCAGTAACTCAGACGATGAGTCCGGGCATGGGTCAGGTTCCGGTTCGGGCTCAGGCTCCAGTTCCAGCAGCAGCAGTAGTAGTAATTCAGACAGTAGCTCAGGAAGCGGCTCGGATTCTGGCAGCCAGTCCGATTCCGACTCGGAGAAATCCAAGGAGAAGAACGAACCGGAAAGCAAAGCCAAGATCGACGGGGCCGAGGTAGGAATACCGACATTCAACTGAAACCCCTGGCATACATGAAATGTGATTTTTAGATTCATTCACTGCAGTTTGCACAATGTGATACTGCCAGGTTGAAGTGAAAGAGTTCAGATTGGACATTTCAAACAACATTTTAGATCTCGGGCTGTAAGTATCAAGCATCTGAGTAGGAGTGCTGATCCAGTACCAGGTCTCTCCTGTCCTTGTACTCATTGTGATATAAAATACAAAATATATCCTAAATATGTTCTTCTACTCTGAGACGATTGATACATATGACCTTGGTCAACAGCCCCATTATGTATTTCTGATTTAACTAGAACTGTGTACTGTCCACAGGTGAACTGTCGTTGACTTACGGATAACTCTGCCCTATCTTAATTCTAGTTTTGGAAGTCCAACCCAAGTATCCTAGCAGTGCAAAGGTCCGCTATGCTCAGGAAACAGCAACTCCAGCTGCAACAACAACAGAGCTCTTCTAACAGCGGATCGGTGGGTGGTGTTGTCAATCATTTTACTTGCGGTCTTGACATTCAGGTAAATTTGCCAGTGGCACACCAGGCCAGTAGCAAGTGAAAACTACTGTCCCGAATGAGTAAATTACTGGCCCGGGCCAAAATCACATGAAAGCAAGTTATGCACACAGAATTTCAATCATGGGTGATTTCATGTTTCATTTGCAGTCTGGGCAAGTACCTTTTTATAGCCTGTAGCCAACCATACGATCTGATATTTAAACGGATTGTTTGGAAAACAAAAATAAAACCATCCACCCTCTCAATTACATTATTGATCATAGTATGTTACTGGAAAAACGTATGTGTTATGGCTTTACACCCCCTGCTATATTGTGGATAAAGTTACCTGTCTAACAGAACACAGAGGGTGTTCTTTAATGGAGGCTTCTCAAACAAAATCCAGGTAGAATCAGGAATTCCCCAGGGCAGCTGTCTAGCTGTTTTTTTTTTCAATCTTTACTAACAACATGCCACTGGCTTTGAGTAAAGCCACCACCATGCTTCACCGACAGGATGGTGCCAGGTTTCCTCCAGACGTGACACTTGGCATTCAGGCCAAAGAGTTCAATCTTGGTTTCATCCGACCAGAGAATCTCATGGTTTGTCATGGTCTGAGTGTCCTTTAGGTTCCTTTTGGCAAACTCCAAGCGGGCTGTCGAGCCTTTTACTGAGGAGTGGCTTCCGTCCGGCCACTCTACCATAAAGGCATGATTGGTGACGTGCTTCTGGAAGGTTTCTCCCATCTCCACAGAGCAACTCTGGAGCTCTGTCAGAGTGACCATCAGGTTCATGGTCACCTCCCTGACCAAGGCCCTTCTCCCCCGATTGTTCAGTTTGGCCAGGCGGCCAGCTCTAGGAAGAGTCTTGGTGTTTCCAAACTTCTTCCATTTAAGAATGATGGAGGCCACTGTGTTCTTGGGGACCTTCAATACTGCAGAAATGTTTTTGTACCCTTCCCCAGATCTGTGCCTCGACATAATCCTGTCTCGGAGCGCTACAGACAATTCCTTCGACCTCATGGCTTGGTTTTTGCTCTGACATGCACTGTCAACTGTGGGACCTTTATATAGACAATTGTGTGCCTTTCCAAATCATGTCCAATCAATTGAATTTACCACAGGTGGACTCCAATCAAGTTGTAGAAACATCTCAAGGATGATCAATGGAAACAGGATGCACCTGAGCTCAATTTTCGGGTCTCATAGCAAAGGGTCTGAATACATATGTAAATAAGGTATTTCTGTTTTATTTTTAATACGTTTGCAAAAATTTCAAGAAACCTGTTTTCACTTTGTCGCTATGGGTTATTGTGTGTAGATTGATGAGGAAAAATGTTTTAGTTTTTTTAACATTTTAGAATAAGGCTGTAACGTCGCGACCGGGAGACCCATGGGGCGGCGCACAATTGGCCCAGGGTAGGGGAGGGAATGGCCGGCAGGGATGTAGCTCAGTTGGTAGAGCATGGCGTTTGCAACGCCAGGGTTGTGGGTTTGATTCCCACGGGGGGCCAGTATGAAATAAAACAAATACAAATAATAGTTATGTATGCACTCACTAACTGTAAGTCGCTCTGGATAAGAGCGTCTGCTAAATGACTAAAATGAAAAATCAAGGGGTCTGAATACTTTCCATATCCACTGTATGAAACCATTTAAAATGTAATATTTCCCTCCAGAAATGAGCCCAATAACATATTGATGAAAAGTAATATATTTAGGGCCTGTACCTGGTCCATATTGCAGGCAGGTGTGCTATTTTAGCAATAAGCATTATCACATGTAGCCTGATGCAGCATAGTGGCTACATGGGCTAATCATTAACAAGATCAGGCTTGTTGCATATTTAATGTCCTAAAAAATTCCCATTGCCACTAGCCTAATAAAATCATGTGATTTCTTGTGTTTTATAAGTGAATATAGTCCTACCGTTTTAAGCACTTGAATGGCCGTGAACTTTTTTTATTGTCATGCCAGACACTCTGCCAATTGCAGAAACATTTTAGTTGAGAAATAAATAAATCAGCACTGGAAGCTGGGATCCCGCTCTTTTCAATAATTACCATTAAAACTGTTGGCTTTTCCCGAGATTGCATTTAGGAATGTTGCGCAGTGACTGGGCTTATTAGAACACATTTCTTTCCATGCAGCAATCATCTGTATGAGAAGTTGCGCGCTCTTGCCACCCGACAGTTGATATTCCGCTAATAAATAAACGACATAGCTCATTAACAGCTTCGAGAATTGCTCTGTTTTTTATGCAATTATATAGACTACAGAATAGCATTATTACAATATTGATTAAAACATTTCTGTATTTTTTAACCAAGTGATTTGTGTAAATCTTTCTTTGCTAATAATGACATTGCTGTGTAGGATGTCTAATATAAAAGACTGAAAAGCAGGTGGAGAACTTTTATTCTGTGATTGGGGAATGTGTGTGCCGATGTTAAACTATGCAGGTCTTGCGCGAGTATCCAGGCCGTACTGAGGCGTGGCTCACTCGAGACCGAGAGGAAAGGCTTTGACATTCTTGCCTCTGCTTGGAAACTGAATGCTGGTTGAAAACAAGTGTGAAGTGTCAGATGTCGGGGAGATTGTGAAGGATTAAATATAAATATACATAATTTTCTGTTTTGGTGTTTGAAAATGTTCTGGCCCAAGCGGGCCATATGAAGCTTGATTAGATATTGCCAGGCCAGCGGGCAGCCCTGAATTTCAAGCCCTGTACTTACAGTGGCTTGCGAAAGTATTCACCCCCTTGGCATTTTTCCTATTTTGTTGCCTTACAACCTGGAATTAAAATTGATTTTCTGGGGGTTTGTATCATTTGATTTACACAACATGCCTACCACTTTGAAGATGCAAAATAAAATAAAAAGTGAAACAAACAAGAAATAAGACAAAAAACTGAACTTGAGCGTGCGTAACTATTCACCCCCCCCAAAGTCAATACTTTGTAGAGCAATTACAGCTGCAAGTCTCTTGGGGTATGTCTCTATAAGCTTGGCACATCTAGCCACTGGGATTTTTGCCCATTCTTCAAGGCAAAACTACTCCAGCTCCTTCATGTTGGATGGGTTCTGCTGGTGTACAGCAATCTTAGTCATACCACAGATTCTCTATTGGATTGAGGTCTGCGCTTTGATTCCAAGACATTTAAATGTTTCCCCTTAAACCACTCAAGTGTTGCTTTAGCAGTATGCTTAGGGTCATTGTCCTGCTGGAAGGTGAACATCCGTCCGAGTCTCAAATCTCTGGAAAACTGAAACAGGTTTCCCTCAAGAATTTCCCTGTATTTAGCGCCATCCTTCAATTCTGACCAGTTTCCCAGTCCCTGCCGATGAAAAACATCCCCACAGCATGATTCTGCCACCAGGATTGTGTTCTCGGGGTGATGAGAGGTGTTGGGTTTGCGCCAGACATAGCGTTTTCCTTGATGGCCAAAAAGCTCAATTTTAGTCTCATCTGACCAGAGTACCTTCTTCCATATGTTTGGGGAGTCTCCCACATGCCTTTTGGCGAACACCAAAAGTGTTTGCTTATTTTTTTTCTTTAAGCAATGGCTTTGTTCTGGCCACTCTTCCGTAAAGCCCAACTCTGTGGAGTGTATGGCTTAAAGTGGTCCTACGGACAGATACTCCAATCTCTGCTGTGGAGCTTTGCAGCTCCTTCAGGGTTATCTTTGGTCTCTTTGCTGCCTCTCTGATGAATGCCCTCCTTGCCTGGTCCGTGAGTTTGGGTGGGCGGCCCTCTCTTGGTAGGTTTGTTGTGGTACCATATTCTTTCCCTTTTTTTAATAATGGATTTAATGGTGCTCCGTGGGATGTTCAAAGTTTCGGATATTCTTTTATAACCCAACCCTGATCTGTACTTCTCCACAACTTTGTCCCTGACCTGTTTGGAGAGCTCCTTGGTCTTCATGGAGCTGCTTGCTAGGTGGTGCCTCTTGCTTAGTGGTGTTGCAGACTCTGGGGCCTTTCAGAACAGGTGTGTATATATACTGAGATCATGTGACAGATCATGTGACACTTAGATTGCACACAGGTGGACTTTATTTAACTAATTATGTGACTTCTGAAGGTAATTGGTTGCACCAGATCTTATTTAGGGGCTTCAAAGCAAAGAGGGTGAATACATATGCGCGCACCACTTTTCCGTTATAAATTTTTTAGAAATAAATATTTTTTCATATTAAATATTTTTTTAATTTCACTTCACCAATTTGCACTATTTTGTGTATGTCCATTACATGAAATCCAAATAAAAATCCATTTAAAGTACAGGTTATAATGCAACAAAATAGGACAAATGCCAAGGGGGATGAATACTTTTGCAAGGCACTGTACATCACTGTTCATTGGCAAAGGTGTATTCTTATTTGGCTCAAACTCTGTAAAAACCGGAGATTTTTCATCTAAAAGTTGGAATGAAATGTCGCTCAGTTTTATAGCTTGGTGTTTGGTGGTAGTAATTTTTCTCGGGCATTCTTTCATTTGACGGTTTTCATTGATTGGGAAACTCATTATTTTGTGCTAGTATAGGATATAACGCACAATATTTCACCTAGGTAGGCCAGCACAATATTTGTTTTTTGGGACTTTTTTGTGTTTTTATAATCGTTTTTCCATTGCTTTTCAGGATTCGTCCAGCAGTGACAATTCAGATGACTCATCAGGTGGAAAGAGAAGAAAGTTAGTTGTGCTCCCCGACATAAAATCAATTGCGCTGTAGACTGACTGTTCATTGGTATAATGCTTCTCTCCATCCATCTTTAGATCAGGTTCTGGATCGTCCTCCAGGTCTGGATCAGGGTCCGTGAGTGGTTCCGGCTCTGACTCATCAGCACAGGAACAGGCGCGCAGCGAAGAGTCCGACAATTACCACCCCAGTCACAAAGTCAAAAGTAGAAAGCCTCCAACCAAGTAAGTGTTTGGTTTTTCCTTTGAAAGCTGTTTCATGCCAATACAATAATGACTATTTCTATCATCACATTAAGACTTCTACTTTTCACCCTTTCAATGTGGAAATAGTCAATTTTCAATTTAAGTTCCTTTATCGCCTCATACCTATTAGGTCCATTGTTGTCTTGGATCAGTTTGATTTAGCACTAGTATCAGCATGGTAACTATTTCTGTATGCAAACCAATCCTTTTAGAATGGATGCTCAGCAACAATTTATCAATTAGACTCTCAATGCACACTGACACTAAAGATCTAAATGACCTTTTCTAATGGGAGACGAGAGTTTACACTCTCTCAGCCATTGGCCAGAACCCTGATGGATTGCAATGCATTATCAAATTAAATGTTGGGTCCATATGTTGGAGCACCACTGTCTGGTACTGTGCAACTCTAATATTCTCAAAGCAATCGCCCAGAAGTCATGCGTCCGTCCACTCTCTCCCTTCAGGGCAAACACCAGAAACGAGAAGAAGAGCAACGTGCAGAGGAAAAAGCCCTCGGCGGGCTCGTCATCGGACGACGGCAAGAAATCGTCATCGAACCAGGGGCCCAGGCGCCAGGCCACGCAGAACGTCAGCTACAAGGAGGACGACGAGGCGAAGACAGACTCAGACGACCTGGTGGAGGTGTGCGGGGAGGACGTACCCCCGCCGGATGAGAATGAGTTTGAGACCCTGGAGCGAGTGATGGAGACGCGGCTAGGGAGGAGAGGAGGTAAGGAGCAAAGCTATGTATTGTGGAACCCGGGTTCAAATTACAGGGGTGTTGGCGAGGCCAGGCACTGCCATAACAAATCATGGTCACCTCAAAAAAATATATGAATATAAACTGTTATTTTGATGATATGCCCATGCACGCCATAACAAGTCAGGGCACCCCCCCCCCATAACCATGCAAAGATTAACGTGGGCACATACAGTGGGGAGAACAAGTATTTGATACACTGCCGATTTTGCAGGTTTTCTTACTTACAAAGCATGTAGAGTGTCTGCATGTCTGTAATTTTTATCATAGCTACACTTCAACTGTGAGAGACAGAATCTAAAACAGAAATCCAGAAAAACACATTGTACGATTTTTAAGTAATTAATTAGCATTTTATTGCATGACATAAGTATTTGATCACCTACCAACCAGTAAGAATTCCGGCTGTCACAGACCTGTTAGTTTTTCTTTAAGAAGCCCTCCTGTTCTCCACTCATTACCTGTATTAACTGCACCTGTTTGAACTCGTTACCTGTATAAAAGACACCTGTCCACACACTCAATCAAACAGACTCCAACCTCTCCACAATGGCCAAGACCAGAGAGCTGTGTAAGGACATCAGGGATAAAATTGTAGACCTGCACAAGGCTGGGATGGGCTACAGGACAATAGGCAAGCAACTTGGTGAGAAGGCAACAACTGTTGGCGCAATTATTAGAAAATGGAAGAACTTCAAGATGACGGTCAATCACCCTCGGTCTGGGGCTCCATGCAAGATCTCACCTCGTGGGGCATCAATGATCATGAGGAAGGTGAGGGATCAGCCCAGAACTACACGACAGGACCTGGTCAATGACCTGAAGAGAGCTGGGACCACAGTCTCAAAGAAAACCATTAGTAACACACTACGCCGTCATGGATTAAAATCCCCCTGCTCAAGCCAGTGCATGTCTAGGCCCGTCTGAAGTTTGCCAATGACCATCTGGATGATCCAGAGGAGGAATGGGAGAAGGTCATGTGGTCTGATGAGACAAAAATATAGCTTTTTGGTCTAAACTCCACTCGCCTTGTTTGTGGAAGAAGAAGGATGAGTACAACCCCAAGAACACCATACCAACCGTGAAGCATGGAGGTGGAAACATCATTCTTTGGGGATGCTTTTCGGCAAATGGGACAGGACGACTGCACCGTATTGAGGGGAGGATGGATGGGGCCATGTATCGCGAGATCTTGACCAACAACCTCCTTCCCTCAGTAAGAGCATTGAAGATGGGTCATGGTTGTTTCTTCCAGCATGACAACGACCCGAAACACACAGCCAGGGGAACTAAGGAGTGGCTCCGTAAGAAGCGTTTCAAGGTCCTGGAGTGGCCTAGCCAGTCTCCAGACCTGAACCCAATAGAAAATCTTTGGAGGGAGCTGAGAGTCTGTATTGCCCAGCGACAGCCCCGAAATCTGAAGGATCTGGAGAAGGTCTGTATGGAGGAGTGGGCCAAAATCCCTGCTGCAGTGTGTGCAAACCTGGTCAAGACCTACAGGAAACGTATGATATCTGTAATTGCAAACAAAGGGTTCTGTACCAAATATTAAGTTCTGCTTTTCTGATGTATCAAATTTCATGCAATAAAATGCAAATGAATTACTTAAATATCATACAATGTGATTTTCTGGATTTTTGTTTTAGATTCTGTCACTCACAGTTGAAGTGTACCTATGATAAAAATTACAGACCCCTACATGCTTTGTAAGTAGGAAAACCTGCAAAATCGGCAGTGTATCAAATACTTGTTCTCCCCACTGTAGGTGTGAATTGCAGTGAATGTATCATTCGAACCCTACCCGCTCCCATACTTGTACTCACACTCATTATTTTCCCCCCAAAGCAACGGGAGGCACCACCACAGTGTACGCAGTGGAGGCAGACGGAGACCCCAACGCCAACTTCAATGTCAGCAAGGAGGCGGGTGACCAGCAGTACCTGATAAAGTGGAAAGGCTGGTCCCACATCCACAACACCTGGGAGACGGAGGAGACGCTCAAGCTGCAGAACGTCAAGGGCATGAAGAAACTGGATAACTTCAAGAAGAAGGAATCGGACAAGCGGAAATGGTAAGATAAGAAATGCTTAATTGGTTTGTCAATCATCAGCGTATTCACAGTCACGAAAAAAGAAAATCAATAATGAAAAAGGTAAAAACATCAGAAGTCAACTGTCCGATGGTGAGGTGGCCTTGGCTATTGGTGAAAGAGGCATTTTTGTGTTTTTGGGATAAGAGTTTGACTAGGTACAGTGAGGGAACAAAGTATTTGATCCCCTGCTGATTTTGTATGTTTGCCAACTGACAAAGAAATGATCAGTCTAATTTTAATGGTAGGTTTATTTGAACAGTGAGAGACAGAATAAAGAACAAAAAAATCCAGAAAAACGCATGTCAAAAATGTTATACATTGATTTGTATTTTTAATGAGGGAAATAAGTATTTGACCCCCTCTCAATCAGAAAGATTTCTGGCTCCCAGGTGTCTGTTATACAGGTAACTAGCTGAGATTAGGAGCACACTCTTAAAGGGAGTGCTCCTAATCTCAGTTTTTTACCTGTATAAGACACCTGTCTACAGAAGCAATCAATCAATCAGATTCCAAACTCTCCACCATGGCCAAGACCAAAGAGCTCTCCAAGGATGTCAGGGACAAGATTGTAGACATACACAAGGCTGGAATGGGCTACAAGACCATCGTCAAGCAGCTTGGTGAGAAGGTGACAAATGGAAGAAACACAAAAGAACTGTCAATCTCCCTCGGCCCGGGGCTCCATGCAAGATCTCACCTCGTGGAGTTGCAATGATCATGAGAACGGTGAGGAATCAGCCCAGAACTACACGGGAGGATCTTGTCAATGATCTCAAGGCAGCTGGGACCATAGTCACCAAGAAAACAATTGGTAAAACACTACGCCGTGAAGGACTGAAATCCTGCAGCGGCCGCAAGGTCCCCCTTTCTCAAGAAAGCACATATACAGGGCCGTCTGAAGTTTGCCAATGAACATCTGAATGATTCAGAGGAGAACTGGGTGAAGTTGTGGTCAGATGAGACCAAAATGGAGCTCTTTGGCCTCAACTCGCCGTGTTTGGAGGAGGAGGAATGCTGCCTATGCCCCCAAGAACACCATCCCCAGTGTCAAACAGGGAGGTGGAAACATTATGCTTTGGGGGTGTTTTTCTGCTAAGGGGACAGGACAACTTCACCGCATCAAAGGGACGATGGACGGGGCCATGTACCGTCAAATCTTGGGTGAGAACCTCCTTCCCTCAGCCAGGGCATTGAAAATGGGTTGTGGATGGGTATTCCAGCATGTCAATGACCCAAAACACACGGCCAAGGCAACAACGTAGTAGCTCAAGAAGAAGCACATTAAGGTCCTGGAGTGGCCTAGCCAATCTCCAGACCTTAATCCCATTGAAAATCTGTGGAGGGAGCTGTGGGTTCGAGTTGCCAAACGTCAGCCTCGAAACCTTAATGACTTGGAGAAGATCTGCAAAGAGGAGTGGGACAAAATCCCTCCTGGGATGTGTGCAAACCTGGTGGCCAACTACAAGAAACGTCTGACCTCTGTGATTGCCAACAAGGGTTTTGCCACCAAGTACTAAGTCATGTTTTGCAGAGGGGTCAAATACTTATTTCCCTAATTAAAATGCAAATCGATTTAATAATATTTTTGACATGCGTTTTTCTGGATTTCTTTGTTGTTATTCTGTCTCTCACTGTTCATATAAACCTACCATTAAAATTATAGACTGCTCATTTCTTTGTCAGTGGGCAAACGTACAAAATCAGCAGGGGATCAAATACTTTTTTCCCTCACTGTATGGTTTCTCACCATATTTTGTTCTTCTCCTCAGGATTCAATGTTCTTCACCAGAGGATGTGGAGTACTTTAACTGTCAACAGGAGCTCATGGATGATTTGCACTCACAATATCAGCTGGTGGAGAGGATAATTGGTGAGATGTCCTACTGCTAAGCATTCCTTCCGTTGTAAATAGTTTGTGACTCGGACGTAGAATTGAGATGTATAGAGCAGATTACACTACTACATGCAAAGTTTAAAATATTGTGGTCGTTCTATAAACAACATTCTTAAAGTATCGTCAAAACATTTTGTTTTGATTGGGAATTGCACTTTTTTAACATGTATTTTGATTTGATCTCACCCAGGGCATTCGAATCAGAAGTCGGCGGCAGGTTTCCCGGACTACCTGTGCAAATGGCAGGGCCTGCCGTATTCTGAGTGCAGCTGGGAGGACGGAGCCCTCATCTCCAGAAAGTACCAGAAAAGCATAGATGACTACATGCGCAGAAACCAGTCCAAGTCCATTCCCTCCAGAGATTGCATGGTAAGGAGAAGGGTTATGTTGCTCCTAGACACTGATCATTAGGGATGTGGCACAAAGTCGATACAGTAGAGCAGTATTTCCCAAGGAACTGTCAGGCCCAAGGAACTCTTGAAAGATGTAATAGTTGAATGCACAAGCTGCAATTTCTAAATTGGGAAGTGCATCAGCAGTTTTCCTCATGTCAGTCATTGCCGACCTTAGAGCTATTTATAACTTGTCCATATCATTAGCCAGCTAATTATTTTTAGCTAGGTTTTTTAGCCCATTGGCAAAATGTGAAGAATTGCAGGAAATGAGCTTTAAAACTGCAAATTTCTCTCCAGCCCATGGCAAAATGTATAGAATTTCAGGAAACGATCTTTAAACCTGCTAAGTGTTGTCTCTGCCAACAAGAGGGGTATGAACAGTTCGTCATGGACAGTGCTTGTGCCCATAGAAATAGACATAAAATCAAATTGTATTTGTCGCATGCGCCGAATACAAAAGGTGTATACTTTACCGTGAAATGCTTGCTTACGAGCCCTTCCCAATGATGCAGAGTTTAAAAAATAGTAACACAAGGGGAGTCATGTGATGCTGCGAAGCAAGGTGTTTGTCTGAAAGGAGCCTCCCGATTAAAAACCCTCCCAATTTCCTCAGTCTGATAGAATAGCCAATTTAGTATAAATGTTTTTGAGGGGAAAGTTACGTTTATTTGTTTTATCAAAGTTTTTCAACAATGTCTGCATTGAATTCAGCTTCTACACGTAGCACGATCGCTAGCGCAGCGGCTAACTGGGCTAGCTCTGTTGCTAGCACTTCAGCAAGCATGACGTTGAAAGGGCAGAACATAGAACCCAGTGCGTTGTCGGCCTTGCAATCATCCCTACAGAAGTCCATGGACGAAATGGGTAGAGTCAGCACCATTCTTGAATCAGATGTTTCTCAGGTCAAGCAATCTGATGGATATTCATGAAGATGTATCTGTCATATTACAGAGGCTAGATGAGGCAGAGGGTTGGATACCAACGCTGGACGACGACAACAACCGACTGATTAGGAAAGCCGAGAAGAACGCCAAACTGTATGAGGATCTCCACAGAAGTGTGCAAGACGCAGCTAACCGAGACAGGCGCCTCAATTTAAGACTTTTAGGGGTCAAGGAGGGTCTGGAGGATGGCAAGCCGCGGGATTGCGTGAGACAAATTATCTCGGAGGCTCTGGGGGTGGATCTGGACGAATACGAGCTTCAAGAAGTCCACCGTTCCCTATTACCAATACCACGCGAGAATCAGCCGCCTAGACCAATCATCTGCTTTCTCAGGGATCGAGAGAGAGAGAGAGAGTGAGAGAGAGAGTGTGCTGGCCGCTGCGAAGGGAATGTATCGGGATAAGAGAGAGGTGACTTGGAAGGGCTGCAAGCTATCATTCTTTCCCGATATGACCAAGGAGCTGGCAGATAAAAGGTGTTTTACCGCAACAAGGAAGAGGCTGCATGAGTTGGATGTACGTTTCACACTCGCCTACCCAGCTGTGCTACGCTTTACATGTAAGGGGGAAAGATAGAGCTTTGACTATTGCAAGGCGATGGAATTCCTCAAGAAAAATTCAGAGGACCAGAAATAAGAGCATGGATGGCATAGCTATATTGGCCGTTGAGTTCTATATGGGACAGTGTTTATGTGACACTATTGCTAAGACACTGTGAAATGACAATTCGGCAAACTAATAGCTACAGTATTTAGCTATTGGGCTATTACAGACTGTATAGCTACAATGCTATTTTTGTCACTGGAGGTTTAGCCGGTGACTGTATTCAAGTTACCTGGTCAAAACTACCCTTAAGCAAAGATGTCGGTAAATTAAGTAGATGTAACTAACAACCTTGACATTATTTTAATCATTTTTTGATCTGATTTTATATGGTTTCATAGAAAATGTTGTTTTCCCCCTTTCCTTTAATTTGGGTGGGTGGCTTGGGACAAGGGTGAGAGAGGGCTTTTCTCTTCATGTAGAAAACAAGGGGAGAGGGGTGGGGTGGTTACTGTTTTGTGTTTTGTATTGTGTCGTTAGGTTCATGGCTCATGCAAGTGTTTATAGCGCAACAAAGGTTGTTGTAATATGTGACAGCATGACAGCACCGAAAATGATTGATTTTCAATATAATTCTAACCCCCAATATGCAAAGTTTGATAAATGTCTAAAAAATATACAAAGATAATTTCATGGAATATCAACGGTTCACAGAATCCTGTTAAGAGGAAGAAATGTTTGTTATCTCAAATCCCAACAAGCTGATATAGCTTTTATCCAAGAAACTCATTTGGTTGATTCAGAGGCTGCTAAATTGAAAAGGGATTGGGTTGGGCAATTATTTCATAGCTCATTTTCAAGGAAAAAACATGGTGTTGCAATTTTGGTACATAAAAAGTTGAATTTTGTCATATTAAAGCAACATAAGGATGCGGAAGGAAGAATGATTTGTGTTGAGGCTCTGGTAAATGGTAACAAGGTTAATATGTGTAATATTTGTGCACCAAACAAGGTGAAGGCTGGGTTTTTCCCATAAGGTTATGGGGGAAATCATTGGTGGCAATACAGTGGTGGCGGGAGACTTTAACCAGGTTCAAGATGGTATCCTTGATAAAGCTACTTATTTCCTCCGACACATTGGTGCGGCTGGCTTCCGGGTTAAGCGGGTGGGTGTTAAAAAGCGCGGTTTGGTTGGTCATGTTTCGGAATACGCATGACTCGACCTTCGCCTCCCAAGCCCGTTAGGAGATCGAAATTGGGGAGAAAAAGGGGGTCTGGTAGATATATGGAGACTTGTCAATCCTAGAGAGAAGGAATATACATTTTATTCACATAAACATAAATCTCATTCCAGGATAGATTACTTCCTAATTTCTAAGAGTATGACTAAAGAAGTGATAGATTGTAAAATAGGGGTTATTGCTTTGACTGACCACGCAACAGTGTAATTATGTATAGCAGTTGAGGCTGATATGGCTAAGAAAAGCATTAGATGGAGGATGAATACGTCTTTATTCCAAGACAAAACATAAAATGTTTCCCTCGATGAAGACCTCGTGTTTTTTTCCAAAAAAACATTTGTTCCACTAATAACTTTAGTACGGCGTGGGAGGCCTCTAAAGCTTATATCTTTGATCTGAAGTTTCAATTACATGAGAAAGTGGTGAAAAAAACCTCTAAATTATTGGCTAGACAATTGAAACAAAAAGATGCCAGTTTTGTAATACCAACTATCAAAAATGGAAGTGGGGAGGGTACTGACTGGTACAAAATATATTAACAATGTGTTTTGTGACTTTTATTTGACTCTTTCTAAGTCTGAATGTAACTTTGACCCAGCTAAATTGAATGCCTTTTTTTAAATTTATTTTTTTATAGAGCTTCTGGGGGTGTCCCCAGATCAAATAAAGGATTTGGATGCTCCTATACTAGAATATGAGATAAGAACAGCCATCACCTCAATGAAGTCTGGAATGTCACCAGGATTAGACGGCTTCCCGGTTGAGTATTATAAGAGGAATATTGACGTATTAGCTCCTATATTAACACGGGTGTACACGGAAGCTCTGGAACTGGAGCAGCTACCTGACACTTTTAATAAGGCACTAATTTCATTAATTCTCAAGAAATATAGGGACTGACCCACTGACCCAGGGAGTTTTCGCCCTATCAGTTTAATCGGAGTTGATTGTAAGGTGCTCTCCAAAATACTAGCTATGAGGCTGAAGAAGGTTTTACCTCATATTATTCACACCGATCAGGTGGGATTTGTAAAAAGTAGAACCTCCACAGACAATCTTAGATGTTTGCTTCACCTCTTGTGGCTGAGTCAAAAAGAGGATACTCAGGTGGCAGCCCTTTCCCTAGATGCGGAGAAGGCATTCGATAGGGTGGAGGGGGACTTTTTGACATATACCCTTGAAAAGTTTGACTTTGGCCCTGGATTTATCAAGTGGGTTAAGGTATTTATACTCCAATCCAGGAGCAGCAGTCCTCACAAATGGTACCACCTGGGCCGCCCCCAGGTGGTAAGGGTAGGTAACAACACATCTGCCACACTGATCCTCAACACGGGGGCCCCTCAGGGGTGCGTGCTCAGTCCCCTCCTGTACTCTCTGTTCACCCATGACTGCATGGCCAGGCACGACTCCAACACCATCATTAAGTTTGCCGACGACACAACAGTGGTAGGCCTGATCACCGACAACGATGAGACAGCCTATAGGGAGGAGGTCAGAGATCTGGCCGTGTGGTGCCAGGACAACAACCTCTCCCTCAACGTGACCAAGACAAAGGAGATGATTGTGGACTACAGGAAAAAAAAGAGGACTGAGCACGCCCCCATTCTCATCGACGGGGCTGTAGTGGAACAGGTCGAGAGCTTCAAGTTCCTTGGTGTCCACATCACCAACGAACTATCATGGTCCAAACACACCAAGACAGTCGTGAAGAGGGCACGACAAAGCCTATTCCCCCTCAGGAGACTAAAAAGATTTGGCATGGGTCCTCAGATCCTCAAAAAATTCTACAGCTGCACCATCGAGAGCATCCTGACTGGTTGCATCACCGCCTGGTATGGCAACTGCTTGGCCTCTGACCGCAAGGCACTACAGAGGGTAGTGCGTACGGCCCAGTACATCACTGGGGCAAAGCTCCCTGCCATCCAGGACCTCTATACCAGGCGGTGTCAGAGGAAGGCCCTCAAAATTGTCAAAGACTCCAGCCACCCTAGTCATAGACTGTTCTCTCTGCTACCGCACGGCAAGCGGTACCGGAGTGCCAAGTCTAGGTCCAAAAGACTTCTCAACAGCTTCTACCCCCAAGCCATAAGACTCCTGAACAGCTAATCATGGCTACCCGGACTATTTGCACTGCCCCCCCACCCCATCCTTTTTACGCTGCTGCTACTCTGTTAAGTAAGTATTTATGCATAGTCACTTTAACTCTACCCACATGTACATATTACCTCAACTACCTCAACTAGCCGG